AGTCGGGTTCTTTCATGAAGATCTGAAACAGAGATAGTGACATCTGCCATTGGGTCATGTCCGGATCATCCTCCAGGGCAGGCGGCGGAGGTGTCATCACAGCAGGCATCAGTTCTTCGCTGTGGGGAGTAGGTGGCGTTGGTCCAGAAGGCCGGGGCGCAGGCAGTGGGGGTGTTGGAGGCTCTGCTGGTGTTGTCCTGAGTTCAGCCTTGACTTGTCCGAGGACTTTGTACAAGTTGCTGGCTGCTCCGGGTCTTAGGTCCAGGATTTGCCCGATCAGGCCGACGAGGGCGTCGCACTGCGGAGGTGACAGGAGGGGTCCCTTCCTCTGCGCCTTGGTCCTCGAGGAGAGGAGGTCCAGGACCTCCTCCCGCCCAAGACCAAGGGCGTCCGTCTTAGCGAAGGACACGCTGGGGTGCCCCTCGATGAACGCATCGAGGTCGACTCTCGTTGCGTTTTTTGCCGATGACGTGGAGGACGCAAAGGTCTCCTCCACGATGGGCATCTCCACGTCCGGTGTTTGGGCCGCAGGCTCACGACTCCCAGGTGTTCGCAGGGACGGAGCAGGGGTCACTGGTGGAGGGGCAGGAGGCGTCTCCTCCATAGGAAAGGTTGGGGCCGCTGGTGGAGATGGCCGAGGTGCGGATGAGTGGAGCGCAGCTCGGGCCACGGGAGGAGCGCTGCAAACCTCCATGGCTGGATTGGAGGGTGTCGGCGCAGGAAGCTGGGCTGCTGACCGCTGAGGCGGTGCAGGGGTGGTCGGTGGTGGGACGCCAGCAGGAGTGGACGGTGGGGCCGTTCTGGTGTTGTTGGCCAGCCCTGCAAGCATGGGGCAGTTGGCCCTGCGGTGCCCCTGACCGTGGCATCTGGAACACTTGATGCCGGTGGAGAGATAAGCGGGCCAGGCCTCGCCTTTGATGGTGATGTTGAGGCGGGTGGGGAGCCTCTCGGTTGTCATTCCTTCGTGAAGGACGATGAACGCCTCGCGGCGGCCGTCGGTGTAGGTGTACGGGCCGGCCTTCATCATTTTGGGCGCGATGGATGTGATGCGCCCAAAGGGCCTAAGGGCGTTGATGATGGCTGAGTCCTCCACGAAGAAGGGGAGGTTGCTCACCGTTATCCTTTCCGCTCTTTTACGGAAAGGAAACGCTCTGAGGAGAGTGCCCTCAACCTCAAGGCCGTTGTTTATGAGGCGCTCGGCGAGGCCCCTGTTGGCCAGTCCCAGGAGTTGGTGGCCGTTTACCTTGGAGATCTGGATTATTCCGGCGGTACCTCCAAGCAGCCTGTCCAGCGCCCTCAGGTAGTGGAAGGGCTGTAGCTCGGGGCCGTGTTCCAGGTAGACACAGTGCTCCTCGGAGGAGGACGCCTGCCTCGCCCGGGCCTCTGTGATATGGGTCCTGGTTGTCGGGATCTCCTGTGCCCGGGGCACCGATCGCGCCGATGGTTGAGGTCGGCGAATGGTCCTGGAACCTCCAGCATTGGAGGATGGTGCAGCAGCCGTAGGCGAATTTGCCGAGCCACGGCGCCTCTTCCTACCCTGGACGAGGGTAAATCCTTCCTCAGCTCCAGGATTCACCTCTTCTGTGATGTCAGCCCAGTTTCTCCGGACTTGAGCAGCGGCGTTGGAAGTTGGAGCAGCCGCAAGGTCGACCGGCGCGGCAGAATTTGCATCCTGGCTGCCGGCGGGCGGATTTACATAGTTTTGCTTTTTTCTCAAAACTATTGGGATTTCGTTCTGCAAATCTTGATTTGCGGATAATTCTGCACATGGATGTGCTAGTGAGCCGTGCCTTGCAGGCCCCTGCTCGGCCCCTGACGGGCCCCCAGCCCGTGCCAAACTCGTCGCCATCCGCGACGCCATTCCGCCCGCCAGAGGCGAAAAACTCGGGAGCTCGCGCGACGCGTGGCCGCACGGCCGAGTGTAGACATGTGGTGTACTTACAGTAAAAGCAGTCGCTAACTACCCACCAGGATTATCATGGCCTGTACCATATGTAGACATGTGGTGTACTTACAGTAAAAGCAGTCGCTAACTACCCACCAGGATTATCATGGACTGTACCATATGTAGACATGTGGTGTACTTACAGTAAAAGCAGTCGCTAACTACCCACCAGGATTATCATGGCCTGTACCATATGTAGACATGTGACAATTTGACAATTAAAAATATTTTATTGACTACATAGTCAATCATTACTCCTAAGAGTTAAGCAGGAGGAACCAAATATTTACAATTTAAAACAAATCAGGCGGTGTCCCCACCGAGGCTCGTCTGGGCCCAATCAGGAGGGCAACATTCCCCTGAGCGCGGACATGCCCTCACGCACAAAGGGATCGGCGTCCCGAGCGCGCTCGATGGCGGCGCTGATGAAACCAGCGAGGAGGCTCCTCCTCCGAGTGGACAGGCGCCTGATGAGAGGCTCCCTATCCTCGGGGTATATGATGGCTTCTGTGATGTCACTCTCACTGATCCCCACTCCCCAGTCGCGTTCTTGGTTTAATTCATGTAGTATGTCGTCTGCTTCCGTCCAGCGGTCATCAATGAATTGGCAGGACAGTGGAGGTGGAGGTGTCGCGATGAGCGGCGACGTCTTTTCCCCGTGGGGAACGGGTGGTGTTGTCTCAGCGGGCCGAGGCGTAGGCGGTGGGGGTGTGTCTCGCTCTTTCTCCGTCATTGGATCGTCCTCCTCCATGTCCGTCGGGGCGGGCGGCGGAGGTGTCATCAAAGGAGGTGTCAGTTCCTCCCTGTGGGTAGAGGGCAGCATAGGCTCAGCGGGCCGAGGCGCAGGCAGTGGGGGAGTTGGAGGCACTGCAGCTGGTGTTGTCCTCAGCTCAGCTTTGACTTGCCCGAGGACTTTGTAGAGGTTGCTGGCTGCTCCGGGCCTCAGATCTAAGATTTGCCTGATAAGTCCGGCGAGGGCGTCGCACTGCGAAGGCGGCAGGAGGGGTACACTCCTCTGCGTTTTGGTCCTCGAGGAGAGGAGGTCCAGGACCTCCTCCCGCCCAAGACCAAGGGCGTCCGTCTCAGCGAAGGACACGCTGGGGTGCCTCTCGATGAACGTATCGAGGTCGATCCTCGTTGCGTTCTTTGCTGTTGACGTGAAGGACGCAGAGGTCTCCTCCACGATGGACATCTCCACGTCCGGTGTAGGGGCCGCAGGCTCGCGACTCCCAGGTGTTCGCAGGGACGGAGCAGGGGTCACTGGTGGAGGGGCAGGAGGCGCATCCTCCGCAGGTAAGGCCGAAGGCGCTGGTGATGATTGCCGGAGTGCTGCAGGTGGATGGAGCGCAGCTCGGCTTGTGGGAGGCACGTCGGAGACCTCCATGGTTGGGTTGGGGGATGCCGGAGGTGGAGGCTGGGCAGATGGTTGTTGGGGCAGCCTAGGCGCAGTCGCTGGTGGGACGCTGGTTGGAGAGGTTGGTGTGGCCGGTCCAGGAGCGGTCGTTCGCCTTGCAAGCAGGGGGCAGTTGGCCCTGCGATGTCCTTGGCCACGGCACCTGGAGCACCTAATCCCGGAGGACAGGTATGCGGGCCAGGCCTCGCCTTTGATGGTGATGTCGAGGCGGGTGGGCAGCCTCTCGATGGTCATTCCCTCGCGGAGGATGATAAACGCCTCTCGGCGGCCGTCGTTGTAGATGTATGGGCCAGCCTTCATCAGCTTGGGGGCGATAGATGTGACCCGCCCAAAAGATGAAAGGGCGCTGATGACGGCTGCATCCCCCACGAAGAAGGGGAGGTTGCCCACTGTAATTCGCTCCGCCCTCTTGCGGAACGGGAAGGCCCTGTGGAGAGTGCCCTCCACCTCGAGGCCCTCGTTGACGAGGCGCTCGGCCATGCCTCTGTTAGCCAGTCCCACCAGGAAGTGGCCGTTCATTTTTGTCAGTTGGAAGACCTCCCTGGTCCCTCCGAACATCCTTTCAATTGCCCTCATGTAGTGAAAGGGCTCCAGTTCAGGGCTGCGCTCTACATAAACGCAGTGGTCCTCGGTGGAAGACGCCTGCCGCGCCCTGGCCTCCACGATGTGAGCTCGGGTGGTCCTGATTTCCTCCGCCCGCGGTGCCCATCCCGTGGATGATCGCGGCCGGCGAATGGCTCCTGCGCCTCTGATGTTAGAGGAAGGTGCAGCCGCCGCAGGTGATTCCGCCGAGCCACGGCGTCTTTTCTTTCTTTGGACAGTGATGAAAGGGTCCTCAGATTCGTGATTGTTGTCCTACGCTAAGTCTGCCCAGCTTCTATTGGCTTGGGCAGCGGCCTCGGAAAACGAGGCAGTAACGAAGTCGGTCGGCGTGGCCGGATTTGCATGATGTCCGCCGGCGGGCGGATTTGCATAGTTTTGATTTTTGTTGATGAGATTTGAAGTTTTCTTCTGAAAATCTTCTTTCTTAGATAGTTCAGCACATGGTTGTGCTTTTGCGCCGTGCCTTACAGGCTTTTGCTCGGCGTTTGAAGGGCTTTCAGCCCGTGCCAAATTCGTCGCCATCCGCGACGTTATTCCGCTCGCCAGAGGCGAAAAACTCGGGAGCTCGCGCGACGCGTGGCCGCACGGCCGAGTGCAGACATGTGGTGTACTTACAGTAAAAGCAGTCGCTAACTACCCACCAGGATTATCATGGCCTGTACCATATGTAGACATGTGGTGTACTTACAGTAAAAGCAGTCGCTAACTACCCACCAGGATTATCATGGCCTGTACCATATGTAGACATGTGGTGTACTTACAGTAAAAGACAGTCGCTAACTACCCACCAGGATTATCATGGCCTGTACCATATGTAGACATGTGGTGTACTTACAGTAAAAGCAGTCGCTAACTACCCACCAGGATTATCATGGACTGTACCACGTGTACTAGGGATAATTAAAAATATATTTATATTTTTACAGATTGATATATAAAAAATGGAAGCATTTAAACACGAATGTTTCTTTTAAATACAAAACTTTCTTGTATTAGCGGCCTAGGCATCTGAGGAAGTTTCGCTGTTCACTCACCCCAGGTTCCATGGTGTAATGGCAGCACATTGGTATATAACCAGAAATCCGAGTTCAAATCTCGGTGGAACCCATTCCTTTTCTCTTTCAGCGTAATTACCCCCAAATGCCTATTTATCAATTTATGAGACAATGCCATCTATATATATGATTTGGTACTATTTTTTTTTCCTATCCCTAGTCACGTGGTACAGGTCATGATATTCATGGTGGGTAGTTAGCGACTGCTTTTTTTACTGTAAACGCACCACATGTCTACACATGTGAAATCAGTTCGACTTTGCACTTACAAATGTGCCTGAACTCCGATTGGTTACTTGCACTCGCTGTAGGGGTTGGAGCTTTGCAAGAATCGGGGTGGCATTGGAGCATTAAAAAAAAAAAATATTTTTTTAAAGAAAAAAGTGTCCAATGCGGGAATCGAACCCGAGTCGTAGTGGTCGAAAACCAAATGGTTTAACCAGCCTTCCACCGACCCCCATTGGAACTATTAAATCACGAAAGTTTTTTTAAAATTCAAAACAAACTTCAAACAGGGAAATAAGTGTTAAATACTTTCATACTCTACATAGAAAGAATTTATTAATTTGTTATATATATATATATCTACTTTATTTATATATATATATCTATTTTTTCTATTGTTTTTAATGTGTTAAGCGTCTTTACGCAAATTTGGCCTTAAATACCCATTTCTTGATTTATCAAGAAGCCATTGGGACCAAAAATCTTTTTGGTCGCAGTGGTTACAGCCTACTACACGCTGACGAGCGCCAACAGCGCGAAACGCGTTCGTGGATGGCTTTTTCTTGATTTATCAAAGAAATTGGGTTGGCCAAATATCACGGAGCAAGCTAAATAAACGTTTAATTTATTTTCGCTCCACTAGATGGCGCTCTGCCATCTATAAAGCACATGTGCTCGTGGTCAGGAGATGCCTTCTTTATTTTTAATATATATCTACGCTTTGCAAATATATATTTTAACATATATAGAACCTTCAAGTTGCAAGACTTCAACCTTTTAATAAAGGTTTATTGTCCTTTTGATATTTCGGTTACCCAATACCGTCCTTTTTCAATAAAGATGGAAAACTTATTAAGACAGTATACTTCACTAATAATACAATTCGTTAATTAGGACAATTACAATAAGTTTATTCACAAAGTTAAACACCAAAACGCGAATGTTTCTTTTCACGAATAATTACCTCAATCAATTCTTTGTCGAGATTTTCTTTACTATTAACACACGCGATATCTTCTCAATTCCTAAATTAAGAGAAAAGCCTTGAAGCAAAATAGGTTTTTCTTTTCAATGATGCCTCTATGGAATATGGAAAATTTGCATAATTTCTGGAGTCAATCGCTAAAAATGGCTATACACAAAGGTTTGGATAATTGGATCAAGCGATGAAAGAATGGTGAAAACGAACTAAATACATTGATAAAGTGATACATGGCAATAAAATGTCATCTATATAATACAAATAAAACACCAAAACATGAATGTTTCTTTTCACGAATAAATCAAAATTCTACTGTCCTTACTGCGATGAAAAAATATTGAGAGGGCTTGGTTCATCAGTGGTGAACCCTCACAGTAGTTTCACCAATTTAATCTACCAGACCGCTTCTTAGAGCTCTAATACTGTATTGGATCATTCTGTTTATATATGTTACACTGAAGGGTGGAATCTTAGAAATGGTATTTAAGTAAACTATGGACATAAGCTTATAGGACAGTGGAATTACATATAAATATTTACATCGAGCAATGCTCTCTTAGAGCTCTAATACTGTATTGGATCATTCTGTTTATATATGTTACACTGAAGGGTGGAATCTTAGAAATGGTATTTAAGTAAACTATGGACATAAGCTTTTAGGACAGTAGAATTACATATAAATATTTACATCGAGCAATGCTCTCTTAGAGCTCTAATACTGTATTGGATCATTCTGCTTATATATATTACACTGAAGTGTGGAATCTTAGAAATGGTATTTAAGTAAACTATGGATATATGCTTTTCGGAAAATCGAATTGATTTAGTAAATACATAATAAAGTCTTGAATACTTATAAAATGAAGGGATTTAAAAACACGAATGTTTCTTTTATACATAATACAAACTTCTACTGTCCTTACTGCGATGATAAAATATATTGAGAAGGCTTGACTTATCAGTGGTGAACCCTCCCAGTAGTTTCCCCAATTTAATCCACCAGACAGCTTCTTAGAGCTCTAATACTGTATTGGATCATTCTGTTTATATATGTTACACTGAAGGATGGAATCTTAGAAATGGTATTTAAGTAAACTATGGACATATGTTTTTAGGAAGGTACAATTGATTGTTAAAGATATATAAGAAATTATTAGGGGGTCGGTGGAAGGATGGTCTAAACCGTTGGTTTTTGACCACTACGACCCGGGTTCGATTCCCGCATTGAGAACTTTTTTCCTATTTAAAAAAAAAAAATGTTCCAATGGCCCCCGATTCTTGTATAAGTGCAAACCCACCAGCGAGTGCAAGTAACCAAACGGGGCTCTGGCACATTTGTAAGTGCAAAGTTGAACTGCTTTTCACATTTGTAGTCATGTGGTGTACTTACATTAAAAGCAGTCGCCAACTTCTACCCACCAGGATTATCATGGCCTGTACCATATGTAGACATGTGGTGTACTTACAGAAAAAAACAGTGGCTAACTACCCACCATGATTATCATGGCCTGTACCACGTGTACTAGGGATAAGCACAAAAAAAAGAAGAAATTATTGAACGCCTGTATCACACATACATGGTCTTATCTGGGTAACATATAAGTTGGAATGAAGTTTTCAGGCGTGCTTGAGTAAATAGTTGTTCTTTTCAGCTCTCGCCTTTTTCAGTCGATCTTTGTCTACTGACAGGCAAATACAGCGATACAGTCCTGAATGTAAACTTTGTCAGTGATTGATAAATGGTTTGGAAGCAATCTCAGTTTGTTATTGACTCTGTCTGGTTTTTGTAGATTTTGTGATTGTTGAAAGCAAATGACTTGTCCTCTTTCTTTTGTATTGTGTCGTGGCCTGTCATTGTCAACTATCTTTTTTTGGAACTTTATACGTCGTTTGATTAACTTCTTTATCTTTTTTATTCAGCGTGTGAGTAGGATGGGAGAGAGAGTTGATTCTGTTTATTTATTTGATCAGAAGTTTCTGAATTTACAATGGACTTCTTTTAGATTTGACACTATAACATACTCATGGATAAAACTTAAGGAAGTTGTACCTTTCAGCATGTATATCGGGATTCAGACAATAATTCTGAAAGATACACTCATGGATTAAACTTAAAGAAGTTGTACCTTTTAGCATGTATATCGGGATTCAGACAATAATTCTGAAAGATACACTCATGGATAAAACTTAAAGATGTTGTACCTTTTAGCATGTATATCGGGATTCAGACAATAATTATGAAAAATACACTCATGGACAAAACTTAAGGAAGTTGTACCTTTCAGCATGTATATCGGGATTCAGACAATAATTGTGAAAGATACACTCATGGATAAAACTTAAAGAAGTTGCACCTTCAGCATGTATATCGGGATTCAGACAATAACTCTGAAAGATACACTCATGGATAAAACTTAAAGAAGTTGCACCTTCAGCATGTATATCGGGATTCAGACAATAACTCTGAAAGATACACTCATGGATAAAACTTAAAGAAGTTGTACCTTTTAGCATGTATATCGGGATTCAGACAATAATTCTGAAAGATACACTCATGGATAAAACTTAAGATAGTTGTACCTTTCAGCATGTATATCGGGATTAAGACAATAATTCTGAAAGATACACTCATGGACAAAACTTAAGAAGTTGTACCTTTCAGCATGTATATCGGGATTCAGAAAATAATTGTGAAAGATACACTCATGGATAAAACTTAAAGAAGTTGCACCTTCAGCATGTATATCGGGATTCAGACAATAACTCTGAAAGATACACTCATGGATAAAACTTAAAGAAGTTGCACCTTCAGCATGTATATCGGGATTCAGACAATAACTCTGAAAGATACACTCATGGACAAAACTTAAGGAAGTTGTACCTTTTAGCATGTATATCGGGATTCAGACAATAACTCTGAAAGATACACTCATGGACAAAACTTAAGGTAGTTGTACCTTTTAGCATGTATATCGGGATTCAGCAATAACTCTGAAAGATACACTCATGGACAAAACTAAGGAATTTGTACCTTTTAACATGTATATCGGGATTCAGACAATAACTCTGAAAATAAATATTCATATTTAATTTAAAAACAAATGACGGAAAAATACTGATATTAAAAAATAAATATAAAAATATATTTTACTTTCAATTTTGTATAAAAGAATGTAAAATAAAATCTAATCATATTATAAATCATGAAAATTTATTGCATCGTGTTTTCTCTAACAAAAAAGCTTTCATGACCGAATGCTAGATATTATTTAATTGACAGAAATCAAAAAGAGACTTGGGGTTCGGTGGAAGGATGGTCTAAACCGTTGGCTTTCGACCGCTACGACCCGGGTTCGATTCCCGCATTGTACACACTTTTTTCCGATAAAATTTTTTAAAAAATGCTTCAATGGCCCCCGATTTTTGAAAAAGTCCAATCCTACCAGCGAGTACAAGTAACCAAACGGGGTTCTTGCACATTTGTAAGTGCAAAGTCGAACTGCTTTTTACATGTGTAGACATGTGGTGTACTTACAGTGAAAGCAGTCGCTAACTACCCACCAGTATTATCATGGCCTGTACCATATGTAGACATGGGGTATACTTACAGTAAAAGACATTCGCCTACTTCTACCCACCATGATTATCATGGCCTGTACTACGTGTACTAGAGATAAGCAAAAATAAAAGACATATTACTTGAAACCTTAAGTTTTCACTTTAATATATATATACAAATGTTATGATGCATTAGCAGGCCATCTGTTATGAAAATTCGAAACTATTATAGACGCGTATGATTCTTTTCAAAATAAAACGATTTCTACTGTCGTTACTGCAATAGA